AAAAAATGTATTCTACTGTGGTGTATTGTTCTTCAATAAAATTGACCAACAAATAAGAAAATTAAACTATAAAAAGTTCAAAAATCATGTGAAATTAAGCCTAACACAGGCATGTCTGTATAGTGCAAAAGATTTTAATGGTGTTTAACTTTACAATTTTACTCAAATGTTTTACTATTTAATATTTTATCTTATTTATTACATTTATTAATGTCCATAACATGTACTATGTTCAGTGGCAATAAAACTCAAACTCAAACTCACTCTCTCTCTCTCTCTCTCTCTCTCTCTCTCTCTCTGTGCGCGCGGGTGTGGGTATGTGTGGGTGTGGTGTGGGCTGTGAGCTGGCGCGCGGGCGGTGCGGCTCGAGCCTGGATCCGGCTGGACGTGACCGCGCGCCGCAAGTTTCAATCCCCTGATGTGTACACCGGCCGCGTGCTGAGCAGGCTCCCGGCGGCGCCTCTCGGCCTCTCTCGCTGGTATGGGTGAGCCGCCGGTGCGCAGGACGACCGTCTGGACTTATTGGGCCGGGACGCCGCCGCCCGGGCCTGGTCGATCCACCTGGTCAATAAGTCTGGCCCACGGCCGCCAAGGCAAAGGAGCCGGACAGGGAGGCCTAAATTATGAGCGAGATATTTTACTTTCTTTTAAAAAACAATGTTATTGTGATTTTCCAAACAGTCTCTCTCTGAGCGGAAACTGACAAATACCCACCTGGGGAAAAAAAGGCACACGAAATTTGCGAATATCACGGGGCTACAAACTGCCAGAGACGTTGTGATTCGTTTAAAGTTAGGTGCCGGTAGGTTTTTATTTGATCAAAAGAATGAAGGTGTGACGGGCGGTGCATTAAGGGGGCATCCTAGTGTAGCAGGCCTAAAAATATGTGTTTTTTTGCGATTTTTTAAAAAAGAAATGGAAGCAACAGAGGGAAAACTGGGTTTGCTACATAAAAGTACACATCTTTCTCTGTCCAAAACTGCTTAAAAGTTGACCAATGCCTCACGCATACCGGAGAAACGGCCTGTGAGAAAACACGCGTCGCGAATGTCGTGGACGAATGGCGTGCACGATATCTACCCTCCAAATGGTCCAATCGGGCCAAATCCAGTGTCTGCGTGTTCTTTCCACTTGCCGCTATGGCATGAACCTCCAACTTTTAAAACAAATGATTATTACTATTTTTTTGATCACACTAAACTTTTAGTTTCAAAACATTAGGTAAAATTTCAACTTTACGATTTTTTTTGACAAGGTTCTAGTTGACCGAGGCCAAAACTGGAGGTTCATGCCATAGCTTCACTATCTGAGAGCACTCAGAAAAAAATTGAGCTCGATCGGACAATTCGTTCGGCAGTTATCGTGCACGCCATGCGTCCACGACATTTCGCGACGCGTGTTTTCTCGCAGGC